CGCTGGCGCTGGCGACGACGACGGTGACGGCGACGAGGAGAAGGCGAGGATGCGAAAAAACGTGAAGAACTGGATGAATATCAATGGTTATCGCTTATTGGGGCCCTCTTGTAACCCTCGGGGCGTCTTGGACATTTATTAGGCCGTGTTGAGGATACCCTGGGGCATCTTGGAGCGTTCTTGGTCTGTTTCGGGGCCCTCTTGGAGCAAGCCGCGGTGCAAGTGAGCTGGAGGCCTTCGGGAGGTAAGAACTCGAGAGGGAAAGCCTCTCCAGTTGAAGGGTGCTCCCCCCCCAGGGGGTAAGGGTTGTATCTCCGTGCCCTGGAACAAGGCTCGCGGAGGGGTTTTGGAGATTATCGAGTCCGTTTTTGTGGATTACAAGTTAATTCCCTTTGTGGCGGATTACAAGTTGATTTTTTTGTGGCGGATTGCAAATTAATTCTCATTGTGGAGAATTGCAAATTGATCCCCTTTGTGGCGGATTACAAATTGATTTCCTATGTGGCGGATTACAAATTGGTTCCCTATGTGGCGGATTACACATTGAGTCTCTTTGTGGCGGATTACAAACTGATTTCCTTTAAGGTGGCGGATTTCAAATTGATCTCTATTGTGCGACCTTCCAATAGAATTCCATTGCGCCGGCTCAGAGGGGCGGGGGGTGGGGGACTGGCCGACGAAAAAGACAAAAAACGACAAAAAAGACAAAAAACCAACCTGGGCGACCAAAACGCTGTGTTTTTAATTGTGCAGCAGTTTTTAATTGAAAACCCCAAAGCACAGAAAAGCACCTTGGAGGCAAAGAAACCTGTGTTTTTACAGTGTTTGCGCATTTACAAATTGATTCCTATTGTGGAGCTTTCATTTTTTTTTGTGGGGATTCATACATTGTTTCTTATTGTGTGCGATGCAAAGGAAATCGTTTTGTGCAGGCTTACACATTGTGTTCTATTGTGCGGCGTTGTAGCCCACCACTATAGGAATCAATTTGTAAATGCGCAAACATTGTAAAACAAACACAGGTTTTCTTTGCCTCCAAGTTGTTTTTTTTTTTTTTTTTTTTTTTTTTTTTTGTGTTTTCGGGTTTTCAATTAAAAACCGCTTTACATTTTAAAACGCAGCGTTTTTGGTCCCCCAGATTGTTTTTTTTGTCTTTTTTGTGTTTTTCGTTGGCCAGGCCCCGAACCCCCGTCCCTCTGAGCCGGCGCACTGGAATTCTATTTGAAGGCCGCACAATAGGGATCAATTTGAAATCCGCCACCAAGGAAATGAGTTTGCAATCCGCCAAAAGGGGACTCAATTAGTAGATCCGCCGCAAAGGGAGAATCCTTTTGTAATCCGCCACAAAGGGAATCAACATGTAATCCGCTACAAAGGGAATCAACTTGTAATCCGAGGGCCCCAGTTCGCTTTTCATTTCCAGCGGGGGAGATTCCAGAAAAATCGGGGGAGGGGGGAAAATCACGTTGGAGCCCGAGCCCCCGACCCTATATTTGGGTTTGCGGGTCGGGTGACAGTGGTCTGGTAAGTAGTCAGGTCTTATTATCTGCGGCAGCTCTGGAGGATCGCAAGTGTCTCTGCTGGCAACCACATTCAGCAGATACTGGCCATTTTTTGCGATGATACTTCGTCGGGACGGCTCGCTTTCTATCATGGACAGTTCGATCGGCCAGCATATCGACATTCTGCCGCACGAATTCCGGATGGCCTGGCTCCGGGTGGCTCGCCTGGTGTTTTTCAATTTGGATATCTTGCCAGAGGGGGATCTGCTTGCAATGGACGACAAAGCGTGCGACCTTGTTGGCGGCGGCAAAATTTCTTACCAGCCGAAGACGCCAGTGGAGCTCACAGCGATGATGAGGCAAGAAGCCGAAGCTACTCTGTCGACGCTCAACGAGGCAGAGAGCGCTGAAGCTTATGCGGCGCCCCGAACAAACATATGCGTATAATCCATGCGATGTGTATCCATGCCTCGGCTATATGCCAGCGTTCTGCAAGTCTCTGGACTACGGGCGGAGATGAGCCTGGGCCTCGCTCGCTGCTTTTGCGGAGCGCTGAGTTCATTCGGAAGGGGTGTGAGGAGTGTCCATCTTGGGACGAGGTGAGGCATCAGCTCACGTGGACTGACTCCGATCGACACGCAGCCCTCCTGCTCGATGCTGGCGAGCGCACTCGTTTTATTCTACGCGCGGGTGCAGAGTCATTCCACCGAGCCAGCGATCATTATCACTGCACGAATGACTTCATGGCGTCGTTCCTGTCCGCCTTACTCCACCCGGACACCAAGGGGTCCAAGAAGCGAGCTTGGGCGCACGTGAAGGACGCTGCAGGTTTCACCCGGTATCTTTTTCCAGACGATGCTCGCATTCACTGGACATTCGTAGAGGGTTTATTGAAACATTGCCGCATCAAGAACATGATGGCGAAGTGCCGCGAGGAGGCGGACGAGACTGTGATCGGCATTGACGGGCAGTACTCAACCCTGTTTTCGGTTTTGTACCAGACGCAACACGGAGCACCCGGTGGTGAACGGAAGCCTGGCGTTCACGTCCAGTTGTCGGTTCAGTGCATGGACTCGGTTCTCTTGGTGAAGCCGGCGCCGTCGGAGGCATTCGTGCATGCGAAGAAGGCCGAGGGTTTGCGAACGGAGCGGCAGTGGGCGGGGCGGCGGCTGGGGGAACTAACTGACCGAGGACGGGGTGACGGGGCATTTAGCTCGCGCCAGCCGCGTTAAATCGCAGCGACAGAAACGTCGATACATCGTTATCAATCCGGGCGAGAAGGGAGGGGGGGCCTCGCTTTTGTGCGCGTCAGTTTTCTGTAGAAATCATTTAAACAATAACGCGTTCGGCTGCCGCCCCGCCCCCCAGCGCCCCGTTTGCAAACCCTGGGGAAGGCTTTGCTCGAAGCCGTCGGCCACGCGAGCGGCGCGACGCAGGTGCGCATGATCTGTTCTGACGCGCCCATCTCTTTGGAGGACCCGGCCCTCCGCGCCGCGTTCCCGCGGCTGCAATGCCTCTCCAAGGGCCCCCTGCGCGTCGCGCTCAAGGTCGAGCAGGCGTCCGGCGAGAAGCGCACTCCGCTATCGAATCTCATCCGCCGATGCATAGTGAAGTTCTCGAAATGCCTGGACGATGGCAAGCCGTATTTCCGTGGGCAGCGACGGCGGACGGACTCGCTTTCATTGGGAGATGCGATGTCCTCGCTGTCGGACGCCTCTGCGGCGATGTCGGGAGATGCGTTGTCCTCGCTGTCGGAGAGCCGTGTCGGCGATCGAGGCCGAGGGCTACCCCGAGCGACAGTATCGCAACGCCGTCTCCTTCATTCAGGACATCGCTGCCGTGTGCAAGATGTTCCCGCGGGAGATGAATAAGACGACCATCAAGAGGACTACTATCCTTGCGAGCTTGCGATCTGCAGCCTCACCTGTGCAGCTTGAGTACCTTTTGAATCTCGGTGGATTCATTGCAAGGAACCCCAGCGTTCAGGTGATGTACAGGACCACAAGGAATGAAGCATTCCATCTGCAACTGAAAGCATTTATCCGCAACGTGTTCGTTCAGACCGAGCGGAACGCGCGCGCTGTGTCCTCAATATGCACGTTCGCCAAGCTTTTGGCGGGTTGGGCCAGGAAGAGTCTGCCCCTGATTGAGCACCGCCAGGAGCGCGAGCTGCTTCAGGCTGCGCTGTGCGCCTTCACCCAGCACCCGCCGAAGATCGCGCCAAAGTTGCGCCTGGCAGTGCGCGCGAATCCGCGCGTCGACGTCTGCCGCTTGCCTGCTAGCGCCAAAGTGTTGCGCAGGAGGCCAGCGGCTGCTGCGGCGTTGCCGCGCCCGCGAAAGCGGCCCAGCGCTGCTAGTGCCAACATTTTGCGCAAGAAGCCATCAGCTGCTGCGGTGATGCCCCGCCCGCGCAAGCGGCCTGCCTCCGTCGCTTTTCCGTGAACATTTGCAATGCGTTTCTGGGGCGTCGATGCGTGCTCGCTCCACTTCTGCTTTTTTCACGGAAGTGGGCTTCCCCACGAATTAACTCAAAGCGTCGCCAACAGACTGAGTATTGTTCGTGTCAGTTATGATGTTGGCGCATGCTGCCATTCAGTGAACTGCTTATCCGCGTTGCTCAGCTGCCCTCTTGCTTGGACAAAGGAAACATGGCATGCATTCGTTATGTGAGTCGGCAGCTGCTTACCATTGACCAGATTCCTCTTCTCATGCATCCTGTCATTTCACGGAGCAAATCGGTGCAAAAACGCCATGTTCCAGGGCACTGAGATACAACCTCTACCCCCCCAGGGGGGGGGGGCGGTCACAACCTTGGGCCCCCCCCTAGCCCCCCAGGACGCCCCCCGCCCCGGCGCGGGAGGGATCAGAGGGAAGGGGCCGCACTTCGACTCGATCACGACGTTGCTCGATATTTTCCCTGGCTGGAAAGCTTGAGGAGGAGGGCCCAGGGAAAGGGGGGAAGCGACGACGACGACGACGACGACGACTCGAGCGTCGGGGGGGGGAGCGGCGACGACGACGACGAGGACTCAACCGGAAAAGCCTCTCACACATGCCGACGGGGTTGGCGGAGTATGATCAGTTCGCTCGCCGAGCCGGCCGATGGGCCACACCATCGGTCGCACCCCCCGTCGGGGGCTCGGCCGCCCAGGCTGCGGCAGCACGCAGCGGGGCACAGCCTGTCCTGCCAGATCGGCACTCGACCCGGGCGGAGCTCGAGGTGGCTCCCGAATCCGTTGGTTCAGTGTCCTGTGCGCCTTGAGGCGACGTGATAGTTGTGGCGCTTGACGGCGTCACGGGACCGCCGTCGCTTCGTCCATGATTGCCTGAATCCGAACCCGTGTGCCGCCTTCGGTTGGCCATGCGCACCCACTGTATCGTCAGAGGGTCGGTACTTTTTCGGGCGATTGCGTTCCGTTGGGTCCGACCTGCCCAGTTTTATGATCGTTCGGGGTCGAGATGTATGCGTACACGGTATAGCTTAATCCCCGTTCAAGTGTTGATCTTCCATTGAGGTTCGAGTGTCGTGTTATTGGTTCGGCTTGGAGTCGCAGCTTGCGTCCGATGACGTTTTCTGCCAGCCAAACCATACGCGGGCACGAGGATGCGGTTGTTTGTTGTTGCTTCTCTCCAGACGGGAAGAGGATTCTTACTGGTTCATGCGACAAGACTTTGAAGTTGTGGCTCGCGACCGACGGAACGCTGCTGCAGACCTTGAGTGGGCACGAGGGTTGGGTTGTTTGTTGTTGCTTCTCTCCAGACGGGAAGAGGATTCTTACTGGTTCATGCGGCAAGATGAAGTTGTGGCTCGCGACCGACGGAACGCTGCTGCAGACCTTGAGTGGGCACGAGCATGCGGTTTCTCGTTGTTGCTTCTCTCCAGACGGGAAGAGGATTCTTTCTGGTTCATACGACAAGACTTTGAAGTTGTGGCTCGCGACCGACGGAACGCTGCTGCAGACCTTGAGTGGGCACGAGGGTTGGGTTTCTTGTTGTTGCTTCTCTCCAGACGGGAAGAGGATTCTTTCTGGTTCATACGACAAGACTTTGAAGTTGTGGCTCGCGACCGACGGAACGCTGCTGCAGACCTTGAGTGGGCACGAGCATGCGTTTTATTGTTGTTGCTTCTCTCCAGACGGGAAGAGGATTCTTTCTGGTTCAGCCGACAAGACTTTGAAGTTGTGGCTCGCGACCGACGGAACGCTGCTGCAGACCTTGAATGGGCACGAGGATTCGGTTGTTTGTTGTTGCTTCTCTCCAGACGGGAAGAGGATTCTTACTGGTTCATGCGACAAGACTTTGAAGTTGTGGCTCGCGACCGACGGAACGCTGCTGCAGACCTTGAGTGGGCACGAGGGTTGGGTTTCTTGTTGTTGCTTCTCTCCAGACGGGAAGAGGATTCTTTCTGGTTCAGCCGACAAGACTTTGAAGTTGTGGCTCGCGACCGATGGTGGTGAGCTTCAAGGAGCGGGCTTTGGCCATCAGCACAATGCATTCATTCTCGAAGAGGTTTTGGAGAAAAATCAGATTCTGCAAGCTGCCCAGTTGCCACGTCTTTCCGTTTAGCCAACGAGTTTTCGCAAGTCCGCCGACCCCCAGAAGAGGAGAGGCGCGGTTTCCGATGCGGCATGTGTTGTTTGCTGTTCCCCATGGTGATACTTGCGTGCGATGTTGCCGATTCGCCCTCCTCTTCTTCCGCGTCTGTGGTGGAGCTCGTTGGGGGCCTCTTGGAGGCCTCGGGGGCGGCCTGTTGGGAGCTGTTTCAGGTCTCCTGGGAGCTTTGGAGGCTTCGGGGGCGGCCTGTCGGGAGCTGGGAGTTTCAGGCCTCCTGGATGCCTCTAGAGGGCATGTAGAAAGCCTTGAGGGGCCGTCTTGTGGGGAGGGCCCCTGGGGGCCCTACGAGTTCCCCCTCTTGGGCCTCAATTGGGCAAGTAGGGCCCTCTTGAGAACGTGGTTGGCCGTCCTGGGGGTCCCTTGGGCCATCTTGGGGCCCTCGCTGCCGGCTCCTGGCCCTCTTGGGGCCCGTCTTGGGCATGTTCGGGGGGAACTTCGCGGTCCGCCTCGGGCTTTACGAAGCCCAGAGAAGCGAGAACGCGAAACAAACTTGAAAACTTGTGTCCCCAATCAGTGCTCGCACTTGGGAGTTCTTAGTTGTGTTCTAAAGTAAATGGGCCCTGGTGTCGGTCTGGCCAGCTCGTTGTCGCCCGTCGCCGCCGTTGCGTTGTATTGTTCTACGCTACACAGAGTGCACCACATGGATTGCACCACCTAGATTGCACCATATTGATCGCGCCACCTAGGTTGCACCGCGTAGATTGCAAGAAATCACTGTTTGGGGTCCACGCTGGCTAGCATATGCTGAAAATCTATGGTGTTTGCTTCTTGACGCCCTGCTGTAGCTCCTCTTGGGGCCATCTTGGGGTCATCTTGGGGCGTCTTGAGGGCCTCTTGGGCCGTCTTGACGCCATCTTGGGTGTGATCGAAGCCTCTCTGGCTTGCCGGAGTCCTTCTTGAGCTCCTTTAGAAGGCACCTTAGGGCCCGCGACTGGTGGATTTGGAAGCTCGGAGGGCGCCGGAGGTGCGTTGGCGAGGTCTTCCCCCCCCACCCCTGGTCCCCCGCCCTCCAACGGGATTTGGGCGCTCCCCCCAGGTAAGGGGAAAGGGGGAGTGGGACAGCCGCTCATCTCACGCGACTTGTCACCCCGGGCAGGCGGGGGCCTTCGGATTTGGAATACAGAATCGACCCAGTTCCACGAGATGCCCCATTCGGCAAGTTCATGTCGCACATTGTCGTCAGCACAGTCGCAAGGCACAGGGCGGACTACCTGTCTGCAGTGTATTGTGATCCGCCGCAGCTGGATGTTATTCAGGTGCGATCCGTAGTGAACCCAAGATTGCAAAAATCATATCTGGCAAAACTCGAGAATATCGAAGGCAAGAGGAGGCGACAAGGCACGTGCTCTCCGATTGCGGCCCTCTCGCATTTGAAGGTGCCAGTGAACATGCACGACTTCGACCTGAACGAGCACTTCTTATTCCACGGGGCTGTACGGTCCACCTTAGAACAAATATGCAAGGGTGGTTTCAACCCGCAGCGGGGTGGCGAGGCTACTGGCAAGCTCTTCGGTACCGCTTCATATTTCGCTGCCAATTCTTCTAAAAGCGACGATTACACAGAGGAGCGCGCAAATCCGTTGGCAAAGAATGCCACGAGGACGTTAATTGTTTCTCGCGTTGCCCTCGGCGAGTCATTCCGAACGGCCGACCCCATGCAGGGCGCCACGAGACCTCCCGACAACGACGACGGCGTGGACTTTGAGTCAACAGGCTTGCGCCGTTCCGCCCACCCCCAGAAGAGGCGGGGAGTCCACGGTGGAGGCGTCGTGGGCTTCTGGGGCACTATTTTGGGACTCCTGCGGGCGTCTTGGGAGCCGTCTGGGGGCCCGACGGAGCCTCTTGGGGGCAGTTTTGGAGCGCCCTGTGGGCGTCTCGGGGGCCTCTTGGGGCTCTGGGGGCCGCTTTTGGGCCGCTTGGGGGCTTCTTGAGGCTTGTGGGGGGCCTCTTGGGGGGAAAGGTAGGATGTTCGGTTCGTATTCTTCCTCTTTGTCTTTGCCTCTCGTGGGGCTCTCTTGGGGCGATCTTTGGCCGTCTTGGGCCCCTCGTTGGGCCGTCTTGGAACCTTCTTGGGCCGTCCTGGGGCCCTCGTAGAGGCCGCTTGGGCAGCTCTGGGGCGGTCAGCGGGGCCTCCCGTGCCGTCTTGGAGCGTCGGATTCTCGAGAAGACGATCACCCCAGGTTCTGCACGAACGAAATGGGCACGGAAAGAATGGGTACAATGCTCAACAGAAGTTCCTGTTCATTTTGAACAGGACTTGCTGTCCGCGCCGCCGCGGCCTGTCTGTTGGTTTGGGAACACTTGTTGTTGAGCATTGTACCCATTCTTTCCGTACCCATTTCGGGCGTCCAAACAGGTCAGGTCAGAAGCCGTGCATCCATTAAGGAGGCGTGGGCAGAAATAGTAACTAAAAAGTTGCCGCGGCCGCAGCGGGCGCCTCTAGGGGGGGGGAGGTGGAGGAGGCAGAAGGCTTCAGATGCTCAGATGATCGCGATTGCAGACGGCTTGAGCCCCAGAAACACTGAAAGACCTGGGGGAGCCATTGATCTGTGCCTCTCGGGACCCTCTTGGGAAAGCTCGTGGGGCATGTCGAAAGCCTCGTGGGGTCTTGGGCCGCTCGCCCTCTTGGGGCCGTCTTGGAGGCCTCTTGGACTGTCTTGGGGGCCTCGTGGGGGCCTCTTTGGCCGTCTTAGAGCGTCGGGAAACAGAAAAGGCGAGAACGCCCAAATCGCACTTCGACGCCCTCTTGGGAGGCTTCTTGGGGCGTCTCGAAGGCGTCTTGGGTGTCTTGGAGCCATCGCAAGCGTCTTGGGCCAACCGTTCAGCGATCCGGGACCGTCCTGGAACGTCTTTGGGGTCACGGAAGGCAGATTTTGAAGCTCTGGAGTCTCGGGGGAGGCGCCGGCGAGCCCCCAGATCCCTTCCCCTCCGCCCGAAACGAGATTTTGGATCTCGGGGGAGGGGGAGAAGGGAGAGGGGACAGCCAATCATCTCACGCGCCTTCTCACTCCTGGCAAGCGGGGGTCGGCGACTTCTGTGTGGGCGGATAAGTCGAGTAATGGGGGTTGCGTGGACCACATCGAGGCCATGATATATTCGGAGGCGCAGGCACTCCCGGTGGCTCTTGTGGATTATCGTCACGCCGTCGGTTGTACATGCGCATTCTGCTTGAGGCGGCCCTGACATGTAGATTTGCAGACGCCTGGATCTGAAGGACTGGTTGGTGATTGCATCCAGCGTGCACCTTTCGCTCAATGGTACTTGAAGATAAACAAAGCACAAGGCAGAACAAGCGCAACGAGGGCCCAATCATCGCCAGTCATCTCCCCGTCCCCCTCTGAACACTCCCATGGGGTATCGTGGACCGTTTGGGCCATGGTGGGTGTATGCGCACACAAACACGTACACGTGCACACAAGCACACACAACATACACACAATACACAACACACGACATACAACACACAACACACACAACACACATACACAGATACACACAAACACAAACACACAAGCACACAAACACACAAACACACAAGCACACAAACACACACACAAACACACACCTTTACACAAACACACAAAAACCCAAACATCCAAACACACAAACACGCTAGCACACGAGCACCCAAGCACCCAAACACGCAAACTCGCAAACACACAAACACTCAAGCACACAAACACACAAACACACGAACACACATAAACACAGAAACACGAAAACGCAACAACACAAGCACATAAGCACACACCACACACACATACAAACACACGAACACACGAACACACAAACGCACAAAGACACAAGACACGAACACGCACAAACACACACGAACATACAGGCACAAACACACGCAACACACAAGCACACGAACACACAAACACAAACACACAAACACACAACACACAGCACAACAACACATAACACACAAACACACACAAACACAAACACAACCACACACACAGACAAACACAAACACGCAAACACAAATACTCAAGCACACAAACACACAAGCACACACACAAACACACAAACACACAAACACACAAACACAAACACACAAACACACAAACACTCAAACACACAAGCACGCACGCACGCACGCACGCGCACGCGCACGCGCACGCGCACGCGTACGCGTACGCACACGCTCACGCACACGCACACGCACACGCACGCACGCATGCACACGCGCGCACACGCACGCACACGCACACTCACGCACTTTTTGCGTCGGCGGCTGGGCAGAGGTTACTGCTCCGGCGATCGGGCATCAGTGGGGCGCGCTAGATGCAAATTGGGCCGCGGTGTACGGTGGAAGAGGAGAGGACGCCCGGCGCAGGCGGGAAGAGAGGAAGCCGTGCAGGTTCAGGCAAGTCCCGGCAGCGGCGGGGCGGCGCCGGGGGGGGGGGGAGAAGCACACACACGCACACGCACACACACACACGCACACACACGCACACACACACACGCACACACACGCACACACGCACGCACACACGCACACACACACGCACACACGCACATACGCGCGCACACGCGCACACACGCACACAATTTTTGCGTCGGCGGCTGGGCAGAGGGTGACTGCTCTGGCGGAAGGGCAAGAGGGGACGCGCTGTATGCAAATTGAGGCCGCAATGCACAGAAGAAGAGGAGGAGCCCCGGCGCAACAGGATGAGAGGAGGCCGGACCCATTCAGAGGCAACGACTGGCAGGGAGGGCGCCGAGGGGGGGACCAGCGCCGGCAATGAACTGCACTGGTCTGCGCTTAGATGAAGCTAGGGGGGGAATGCAGCCCACGGCAGGGCGGCAGTAGTGGGAGCAAGGCTAGCAAAGCAGGGACATGACCCGCCGAACCAGAAGGTGTGGTCCCGCGATCGACTGCCAAGGCGGGAGGGCGCCGAGACCAAGAGGGCCTACGAGGCGCAGGGCGTGGGGAGAGCGGTGACGGCCCGGCGACGCGCAACGGCGCTGCAAGCCAAGGCGGGCAGGAGCGGGCGGGGCCACGCCAAAAGGGGGAGCGGCGGGCCCAGAAAGTGGACGAGGCGAAAGCCGAAACCAAGGCCGAGGGGGCCCTGGCCAACGGCGAGGCAAGGTGCCACGGCAGCTGTGACACGACACGCGCGCACACACACGCACACGCACACACACGCACACACGCACCCACACGCACCCACACACACCCACACGCACCCACACGCACCCACACGCACCCACACGCACCCACACCCACCCACACGCACCCCCACACACGCACACGCACACACACAATACACAATACACAACACAGCACACACAACGCACACAACACACACAACACACACACACACCCACACACACACACCCGCACACACCCCCACACACACACGCACACACGCACACACGCATACACACAACACACAATACATAACACACACAACACAACACAACACACACAACACACAATTTCACTTTCACTTTCATTTTCACTTTCGCTTCCACTTTCCACGGGCGCACGCTGGCGGGTTGACGAGCCACACGACCGATGAAGCAGGCACACCCCGGATATGCGAAGTAGCGCCGGGCCAAGTGTGGCTTCCAGGGACGCCCTGGAAGCGGGTCAGTGAAGAGGGGGGAACTCGTGGCCCCTCTCGAGGCAATGCGGCGGGGGGCGGCTGGTAATGGGCAGTGGCGGGGAGCAGCGGGCAGCGGCGCCAAGCGGGCACCGGCGGAACGGGTCCCGCGGGCGGCGGCGGGCAGCGGGCGGCAGGCAGAGGCGGGAGCGGCGGGCGGCGGCGCCAGCACGGGTGCTGGCCGGGGCGGGAGGGCAGCGGGCAGCGCTGGCGGGGGCAGCGCGTCGGCACGGAGCCGTCACCGGGGGGCGAGGCCGCAGGTCAAAGCCGGTGGGGGCCTCTGCGAGTCTGCGACTCAGGGCCGTCGGGGCGCGCCGGCGGTCCTCACGGTGGGGCAGTCGCTGCTGAGCTGCGGGCGGCGTGGAACGCTGCGGAGCGTGGCGCCCAGCCGTCGAGGTCGCGCCAGCGCGTGAGCGCCTGGGTGGAGGGGGGCGATTGGCGGGCGGCGGCCGACAGTGCGCCTCGGTCGGGTCTTCACTCGCCTGCAGAGAGAGGCGGGGGCGCGTCGCTGGCCGACCTCGGGCGCGCCACCGATGCTCGCGGTGAGGCCGCCGCTGTTGATCCGACGGCGGCGTGAGGTTCGAGAGCGCAGGACGGTGCCACGGCCAACTGCCGCACGGCGGGGGGGAAGGTCAGTATCGTTTACGGTCGGGGTCCTACTCTCTGCGTGTGCTCAGGGATCGGCATTGCACGCCAAGTGCTCCCGCACTTAGCGTGTACTACGGGTGGTAGTACTTAGCGTGTGCGTCCAGTCGGCCGTTTCAAATTCTCAACCGCGGAGCTCCCAGTATGGACTCAGTATGCCATAGCATTACATTCCATAGCAGTGTCTAACTGATCCTAGCACTGCACGTCATGACGTTAGCATGATGTGGCTCAGCGTATCATCGCATATATTATCATAGCATCTCACAGCACAGCATGGCTTGACATGCAATGCGTACTGTAGAGTATATCATGTGATTGCATTGCATACTGCATCGTGACATTACGCTTTATAACGTAGCATGGTGTACCATGGCATTCCATAGCATAGGGCATCATGGCGCTGTAGCGCTGCATTTCTCCTGGCCCATAGCTTGGCGACAGATCACCGGTCGACAGGTCGATGAGAGCGGAGGAGGAGGAATGAGGAAGAGGCAGGAGGAATCATATAATGTTGATTCCATTACTCATGACTCATGACCGCCTTGTTGTCCCAATGCGGTCAGCACTCGACCAGCTAGAACCTAAGCGCGCGCGAAGCGCGCACGATGTTTTTGGGTATATCTGTATGTATATATACACATACATATATACACACATATGTATGCATGCATGCATGCATGCATGCATGCATGTATGTATGTATGCATGCATGCATGCATGCATGTATATACATATGTATGTATGTATGTATGTATGTATGTATGTATGTATGTATGTATGTATGTAATCCAATAGCCCTTATAACGGCGACGATGGAACACAGTGCCGGGGAACTGCTTTGAACATCACCAGTCGTTCAAAGCAGTGCCCCGGCACTGCTTTGAACGATGCGGAAATGCGATCAGCAGGAGCCTTCGTCTGTTCCTTCTCCTCTTCTCGTCGCTGTATGCTCTTCCTTGTCCTCCCTCCTCCCCCGTTCCCTCTCTAATTAATTACCTCGTTCTCCCAGTCTCACGCGCACTCTTCCTCCCCCCTCTCCTCCTCCTCTTCCTGCTTCTCCTCCTCGTCCTCCTCCTCCTCCGCCTCCTCCCCCTCATTTGTTATATTTCTCCGTCCTTGTCCTCCTGTCCCCGTTCTCCTTCTCCCTCTCCTCCTCCTCCTCCTCCTCGTCGTCGTCGTCCTCCTCCTCTTCCTCCTCCTCCTCCTCCTCCTCCTCCTCTTCCTCCTCCTCCTCCTCCTCCTCCTCCTCCTCCTCCTCACCTTCTTCCTCCTCCTCCTCCTCCCCCTTTTCCTCTCCCTCCTCCTCCTCCTCCTCCTCCTCCCCCTTCCCCCTCTTCCTCCTCTGCTATCACTCCTCCATAATTCCTGTCCGCTCCTCCCCTTCACTGATCTTCCTCTTCGTCATCATCATCCCTTTCGTCGCACGCCTCTTAATCCTCAATCGGTTCCCAATCTTCTCGACTTTCTTGTCATCCGCGTCCTTGGCTGTTGGAGGGGCCTCAGGAATTCTCAGGGCTCTTGTGTTGCACGCGAAGGCACACCTCCCAGGAACGCATCATCCTCCTCACATTCACCCTCCTCCTCCTCATCCTCCTCCTCCATGCACGTTCGGCTCAAGCCCGCGCCGACGGTAGGTTTCACGGCGGTTGGGCGGGCTCGCGCCCGCCTCCGCGGCCTGCAGTCGGGGCAGAGATGCGTGCAGGGTGGGATGACAAAGCGGAAGAGGAAACACGGGCCGCAGTTGCGGATTCTTCAAAGAGCAGCGGCGGCGGTTGGGGAACAAGTGGGGGTTGGGGCGGCCGCAGTGGCGGATACGGCGGCGGAGGTGACCGCAGTGGCGGCTGGGGCGGCGGAGATTCTCTTGGCGGATGGAGAGGAAAAGCGCAGGATGGCGGCGACGGAAGTGACCGCAGTCGCGGATGGGAGGGCGGCGGATGGGGCGGCAACGGATGCGAGGGTTGGGGAATGGAGGGCGCCCGCTGGTGGGACGACGAGGGTGGCTGGTGGAATGCATGGGAAGGTGGCCGCTCGAGTGCCTCGGCAGGTTCTCCTGCCGCGGAGCCCGCGGCCGCAACAGCGGCGGGCAAAGGAGGCGGTCCCCTGCTTCCCCCAGGGCGCGAAGAACAAGGCGCAGTTGCG